ACCAGGCATTACAAATGACATTACAGAGCTCCGTGATTCCCATCAAAGCTCGGGAATACTGCTCTCATGAGGCAGGACTGAGAGTTGTCAGCAGTGACCACACCCAGCAAGAATTTGTAGATGGAGAAACTTATGGCACTGAAAATTGCACTGTGACCTAAGGCAGTGGCTCTGCTCCACAGGCATATCTGATTATTGGACAGCACCCATGTTCCACAAATAGCTCCCTCTGAAATGCCATTCCAGTTCACTGCTCACTCACACAGGGGCACTAGGGACACCACAGCAGTCTCAGAGGGTGTCTCCCCGGTGCTGATGTTTAGCTGTGGGGACACTGGTGAAGAGGCTACAGGACAAGGAAACTACCCTGTGCCATTCCCAGCCCTTCCCCAGGGCAGAAAGCCTCCCCTTTGGTTGTCCTGGTAGCACTGAGGGAGCACACACATTTTGTGGCACTCTTCCTGAGACTCATGGAACTATAGCAGTGGTGCTACAAAGTCCCTGCCACTAACATCCTCCTGATCCTTGGAGCAGATGATCTTCCCTCTCTTTTCTGGAGCAAGGAAATGTTTTATTTAGGGAACTGTTAAATGATGAAAGTCTTGGGGACAAGATACTGAAAAACAGAGAGAGAACAGAAGAAACCACCCACTGATGGGGGAGGTTAACCAGCTTCCACATCACAGCAAACGAAGTAGAGACGACCATAGTAGAGAAAGAGGGACAAAGAGTTTGCGAACATCTGATCTTGGAAACACTTGTGACTGGCACTTACACAGGGCATGATGCTCAGATAGTGCTGTAAGGACAGATTCTCCCCCAGGCTTAGGACTATCTGTAATTTTTATTGTTAAAATCCTGGCAGCACATTCCCCCGGTACAGTGAGATAAGTGTGCATCAGGAGGATAGGTGTTGTCACCAATGACAAGATCAGAGCACGAGATAGCAGTGGGTGTAGCTGAAGTGTGATGATTCTTTCCCAAACCACAAGGGACTATAATTTCAGTGACATATTTCTAGCCAAACCATACGCCACAGTTTAACGAGCAACAGAACCCTCTAGGCTGTCACAGTGTGTGTGAAAATAGCCTATTTGTCATATTTCAATTTTATATTAATTTTGAATCACTATCCCAGAACCTCTGTCATAATGCAAAGGTAAATCCTAGAATGAAGAGAGAAAGCTGACACTGCCAGAGTGCTGCTCAGCAGCAGAGTTCATGCCATGAGTTGTGGGGAAGTACACTGTGTATCCATTCACTAAAAGGGGAAGACCCTTAAAACAGAAGGTCAGGGACTTGTAGAAAACCTGCGAAGCTCTTGCCCTCTCATGGGAAAGGGCAGGTCTGTACACATGAGCCTATTTGGGATCACTGCAGTATTTTTCATATCATTGAGCATTCACACACAGTAGCCTTTTGCATGTCCAAAATCCTGTGCAGATATGAGTTGATAAATCCCCAGAACTCTCTGGCAAAATGAACTATTTTCAAGCGCCTGCTCATTTCAGAGTCCACTGAGGAAGCAGCACTATGTCTGAATAAAAGATTATGGCAGTTTTTCCTTGCCAGAATGATTCAGGGATATGCACAGGAGGTTGTCAAGCATGCTCAGTTGGGGGGGTTCTTTAAGTGGCGAGGACAAGGTAGCTAATTGAAAGCAGCTTTAACCCCTCATGAGCTGCTTCAGACCACAGTTTGCTAGTCCTGCCCAGAGAGAAGAATGTGGTTTTACTCTTTATGTAATGAAGGGAAAGTAACCAGAATTCACAAACTCCAACAGGAAAACATGAACAAGCCTGCTTATCAGCAGCTGCCACCAGAGCACCATTTTGAAAAGAGGCTCTACAGGTAAGAGAAAAAAAACCCAACCTCTGCTGAACAAATACTGAAAGTAAAAAAACAAAATGAACACCAAAAAAATCAATCCCACTAAATCCCAGGGTTTTTCCAAAAGTCCTGAGCATTTGCAGGCCGCAGATAAGATCAGAATTCAGATGTCCATCATTTTAAGAACCACTCCAAAGACACCTCATGCTGGGCATACACAATTAAGGACTCAGCATCAACAGCCACCTTTACAAAATAAACCCAGATCTATCTTAACAAATGAATTTTTACTGCTCTTCAACCTTTACCAAAGTGGATTAGTTTGACATAGAACTGGATTAAATCCCACTGAAAATGATTGATCTGAAACAATGACCTTTCACTGCAGAACATAACATCAAAGACTTTGGGGATAAGACTGGTGAAGTGCAGAGATAAAACAAAATGCCTTTGCCAACATTTTCAAAAGTGGCCTCTTATTCTGGGTGCCCTACTTGAGTCACTATGTAAGTGCTCGTTTCCTCTGAAAATGAGGCCCCAAGCAAGGTGAGCCAGGCATCCAGAACAGGAGACTGCCTGGAAACACTGGCCTTGAAGCTTTATCTCCCAGCATTTCTCCTGAGTGGGCCATGGATACACCCATTCAGTGACTGTGACAGCAGAACTGCCAGTGGGACTATAGGCAGGGAAAGCTGCTGCTCATGTCATGCTGGGATTAGTTCAGGGAAGTTTTTCATGGCAGCTGCCATGCAGGTCCTCCACACCACCACTTGTACACCCCACTTCCAGCACAGAACCACTGACAGGCAACAGCTCAGTCTCTGGCCTTGCCAGGCTTAGGGCTGTCTGCTGAACTGCCAAGAGAAAGCTGCCTCTGGCAGCAATGTGGAAAACATGGATACCTGACTACTGGGAAAGTGTCCCCCTCGCCTCAGGGAGAGCCAAGTAACAGAACTTCTGAAAGTCCTCCTAGATTTCCATTCCCTTTCTGTGACCCATCAACACGTATAGGCACTGTTCTTTGGGCCCTTATATGCATTTTAGGATAAAAATGGCTTTTTTTTTTTTGTATCTAGGGCAAGCTCCTTCCTTTGCTAGGCCATGCCATGTGGAGGAGGAGGAATGACAACAGCAGGTACAGCACATTCAGCTCAGGGCAGGTCAGCCACGTGCTCAGAGTGCTTCCAAGTACAGCTCCAAGGAAGAACAGCATAAACACAGAGCTTGTTCCAAATGGTAGGTCAGGGAAAGCAGAACATGACAGGGATGCAAATCACACCTAGAAAACCAGAACGAGGTAAGGCACAAACTGAACAATTCAAATGCTACCCCAGTGTGAACACAATGGAAAGAACTCCACTGGGCTCTCCTGCAAAGACTAACTCCACCCAGCAGCACAGGCAGAAGACAACAGCAGCACTGGCATTCAGCAGAGATTCACTTGTTCTCTTCCTCCACTGCATGGCCAGGCAGCCCCTCTCTTCTGGCTCAGGGATGGGGAAGCACAGCCCACCTCTGAGCTCTGCTCACCTGTAACTCAGCGTGGTCAAATCCTGTGAGATCACCTGCTTGCAAATTCCTGTCCAAATGCAATTAGCTCCTCAAAAGTGTTTTGTGCAGGTTCAATATCCAGGTGACATGAGACAATAGTGGGCCAGAACATACTGTACTTTAACCACTTGACTTTACATCTCTTAAAGAGAAATACTTTTAATTTGCTCAATTTCATATATCAAGCTTTGAATTGTCTAACAAATTTACGGAAAAGTAATAAGTTATTTCACCTGGGAAATGACCTAGAAAATTCAGTTGTCCTCCAGAGGACAACTGTGCCAAATTTGGAAATGAAATTCATTAAGCGTGAGAGAAAAGGCTTTAATTTGGCTTTAGCTGAAAATCCTTTTTCAGATTTAAATTTGGAAGAGACTTGTTGTTGTAGCACTCCTGAGAAATTCTGCTGAACTGAGCGTCTTCTTTTTAACTAAAAAGTCAAAACAATGATGTTCTTGAACTATTAAAAAAACTTACAAGGCTTTAGGACACTGGTATTGTTAAGGTGGTAGAACAAAGGTCATTTATATCCAAACTCAAAGTACCTGCATTGCCTAGCATGGCTTATTAGAAAATAATCTATTTAGAATGATAGGTACCTAAAATTTCTATACACACAATGTTAATCTTATTCTTTTCCCTGACAGGGAACTGCACTAAATATTTGAAAGGAACTGAAAATACATCTTATTGTAAGATAGGCATTGTTCCTCTTCAATACATCTTCAACAGTAGGGAAGTGCTATCACCCACATGTATCACATACCACTGACTAAGTAAATCATAGTAATCGTAGTGACATGTCATACCAGTAGGCGTGAAAAATAAAGTACCTTATTTGGGATCTCGGACAACAGTCTATCAAGAATCCAGTGTGAATTTTGCTATGGGGCCGCTGCTTCTGTGTGCAGCCGCGTCCCTGACTGTCTCCTGCCTCCTGTCCACCTCAGGTCGCAGAAACGACAGTGCCAACGCCTGGAGAACAGGTTTTCACGCGGCGTGGCCGTGACGGCGGCACCTGTGCCCGCGGTGCCCGCGATGGCGGTGCCCGAGCGCCGCCCGCCCCTCAGGGCTCCCGGTGCCCCCTCAGCCCCGGCCCCCCCAGCCCCGCGCGCGCCCCGCTCGCGCCCCGCTGTTGCTATGGCTCGGCGGGAGGCGGCGACCAATCAGGGCGCGGCAGGATATATCTGTCGCTGTTGCTACGGTCCCGCGGGCCAATGGCGAGGCGGCAGGGGCAGCCCGCGGGCCAATGGAGAGGCGGCAGCGAGCGGCGGGAACGGCCCCGAGCGGAGGAGGGCGGGCGGTGGTGGCGCGGGGCTGTGAGGGCGGGGCGGGCCCGTCCCTCACCGGGGGCTGGGAGGGCCGTACAAACCCGGTCCCGCAGTTGAAGGCAATAAACAGTAACATGTGCGAGACCCTTCCAAGCACCACTGCTCCGAGCCCAGAACCCCAGACAGTTAGAAATGGGCATTCCGAGTGAGAGCCACCAAAATAAGGGAGGCATCAGGGTCTCAACACGCACAAGCGTTCCCAGGGCAGCTGGTGCTGGGTTTTAATACATAATTGTCATGTGACATTTATCACTTCATACCCCTACCTTGAAAAAGGAACCCTGGAGAAACAGTAATCGACAACCTTTATTTGCTAACTTTGTAACAAAAGGTAAGGGAAACATCTCCTCCGTGTATCTCCAGGCTGGAGGTTTGGCAAAGATGACCCCTTCTCCAATACAGATTTAAACCCCCACAGTAACACTGCAAAAAATACCCAAAAAGGGAAAATGGGAAAATACCCATAAGACCACTCCCTATGACTTGCAGGATTAGCTTTAAACCTGCACCAAGAGCTTGCCTTGCTACTTCTTGGTATTAAACACCAAAACCATGGTATGCCCTCCCCCAGTCCTGCCAGAGCTTTAGCGCTGAAAATTCTGCCATGCTCCGGTTTGTGTCATCTGTGGCACTACGGAACATGGAACCCTCCAGAAGTTACACCCTGCAGTACAACAGGAATGCAGGGATAAGAAACAGCAGTATTTTACCAGCACTTAGCTGAGACCTTGTTTTCCAGAACCGAGAAAAAGTTATCCAATATCCACTGTAAGGCAATATAACTAAATTTTACTCCTTTAAAGCAGAGGAGCTTAATTTACCTTCATGATGCAGTGAAGGACTCTGATCTCACCAGTGCTATGGGTAATCCATGTAAGTGCCACAGAACAAGTGCCTTGGTAATTTTAGCATCTACACTACAGCTTCAGACTGCTCCAGTAAAAACCTACAGTTCACAATGTTTCTTCTATCCTTTGCAAAATTCTTAATAAAACTGTAAGTAAATCAAACTTCATAACCATTTGAAAACGCCTCCATCCTTCTCCCTCACTCTTATTCATCCCCTTGTCAAACTCCTGATTCATTTATAAAAAAACACAAGAGGAAAAAATAGGCAGCAATGGGGTGTTTCCTGGGGAAGCGCAGCCCACCCGGAGTGTCTCTGCAGGCAGGTCACATCTGTCCCCTGGCAGAGAATTCAAAGAGCAGGCAGGCTGCCCAGAACGTGTCGCTGCTTAATGGGTCACCAGCTGGATTCTCCAGGACCTGAAAGACACGGGAAGGAATCAAAACCTCACTATATGATTTCTGACACAGTTGCTTATGGTGGGAGAGCTCCTTTGGGCAGCCAGACAGCAGCACAAGGTGTGTGATGGGAGGGAATGTCAGTGCTGAGGGCTCTGTGCATGGAGGGATAAAGGCCTTGTTCCCCTCTAAGCTCAGGTAGAGTGATCCATCTGTGCAGGACATGGTGTAACAGTGACAAGTACAATCAGTGCACAATCCAACTCTCAGTAATTCAGAGCAGAGCAATTCCCTTCCCTTTGCCCCAAGGCATTGGCTCCTGTAAAAGCCAGTAACTGACAGAAGGTAAGACCAGGATGAAATAATAAAGGGAGCGATCACCTGAACAAGGGTGCTCTGCTCAGGAAGGGAAAGAAATGTCTCCAAAATGAATTAAATTTTTGGTTTTTTAGCTTTTGTTTTACTCTCATTTTGGTTCTGATGGTATGCACGACCTACAAAAAGCAAATCGAGTCATGTGTGGACAAAAGGAAGTGTCCATCTGCACCCCTGTGGTTCAGACATAGGAAACAAAGATCTGCACATCCCTGCCACAAGCCCAGAGCCATTTGATTCAGCAAGAAGCAAAGTGCCCAGGAAGTCTGTAGAATGCTGTAAAATCATTTACCCATTCAAGCTCTTCCTTTTCCTAGTGCACTCATTAAAATATGCAAAAATTGCTCTTCTGAATTCCTGAACTGAGCAACTATTACAAAGATTTGAAGATGTCCCCTTTGACATCTGCAGCATCACTGGGTCTCTTGCTCCCCAGCCCACGTTGCACTGAGTGTCATGTTTCTACACCACTGCAAAATCAGTGCAGGAATGCAGAACAGCAAGATGAAAACTACCTACAGAGACTGCATGCTCTGGAAATCTTAGAAAAGGCTCATTCATTATTAATGCCCAAAGCTTTCCTTCTCGTCTGGCTTACATTATGGCTGGTAAAAAGGCCACTTTCCAAGATACAGATCTTTATATTGATGCTTTCAGAGGCTCAAAAGAGGTTCTGTTACTGCCCTCAGAGCTGCAGCCACTTCCCATAATGAGGCCAGCAGATATGGGCTCCTGCTTTTCATAATCTCTTTCAAAAAGGTTTTCTCCAGCAGTTTACACTGCAAGGGAAATAGCAATGGATGCTGATTGTTAGACCAACACACGTGGAGCCAAAAAATAGCTAAATGTACACCTTAGAGAGGGCTTTCTTGGGCCCTATTTTTAGGAAACATTTAATTCAGATATGTGCCCCCATCCCTCTGAAAGCACCAGATGTCCAACTTCTATTCTCTACTGCCTTAAAACCACTCTCAGAAGGCATGCAGACTGCATCCACAGCATGGAAGTAACTTCTTTTATCCTGCCCTACAATCACACTGCCCTGTATACTGCTATCAGCCATCTCAGAACAGTGCAAAATCCCCTTTCCTCAACAATAACACAGGCCTGGAAATGAAAATTACATGAAACATTTTAAGAGGTCTGAGAGAGCAGAATCAGATTGTGCAGAACCCCTCAGAGGGGAGGACCCTCAAGCAGCCATCATTCCACAGTGCCAGGTGAGCCCTCCATGACTCCAAATTTAAATGACACTTTGGATCTGCACAGGTTCCTTTGGCCACCACTTCAGTGACACATTTAATAAAATTAGTGTCTGATAAACAATTCAAGTGGGAAAAAGAAAAACGACAAAACCACCACTCCTCATCCAGTATCTGCTGGATGCTACCCAGGGAATGCCCAGCTTGCTCTGAACTGGATACCGACAGGTATGCTTAGATCAAACATGTTTCATATTAAATATGATAGGAGATTTCACATCTCCTGTGATAGAGCTGCAGGGGATAGTGTGTACAGGGCTGAGCTCCTTTCCCTGAGCATTAGGTGTGTTCTCTTACCTGGCTTTGTCCCAAGGCTTGGCTTTCCTCCATGCAGGGTGCAGAAACAGGTGGGCACTGAGGCTTGTCAAACACAGTCTGACAGGAACTGCAAAAAAACCCATACACAAGTGCATTTGTATTTATGCTCTACTTGCCACTTTCTGTAATACTTTCCAGCAGGACAAGAGGGGCTTGTTGGAAAGACTATTAATTTAGTAGAGTTCTGCTAAGTTGTCTCCACATCTGCCCCATTTCTCCAGATTGTTATGGCCTGAGAATACAGATTCTGCAGTGGGATGACAGGCCTGACCAGGAGCAGTATCAGGGAATGACATCTCAATTTGCAACTTTCCTTCTGCCCCCAAAATGCTCTCCATAATCAAGGAGGTATCTACCAAAAAGTCTCTCTCCTGGAACATATTATAAAAACAGAGATCTTAAAAGAGTCAAAACAGATAAATATGTGGCTTTAGACATAGCCACAACATTGGCTATGATACTACTACAGCTTTTCAAGGCCACCAGTGGAGTCTGAGGACCAGATCCCCATCCCCACTCCCCTGGGGGCTCTGCCAGCCCCTCAAGAGATCAGTCCGCGGGCACTGGGTCAAGTAGCAGACACTGGGTACTTAAAAATTTGATGTTCTTTCCCATCATCACCAACTCTAAGGTATTTCTAATGCAACAACACTGCCCATACCACCACCTGGAATAGCCCAGGGCATGAGTGTCCATACAGGCCCAGATAAGAGGTGCCCACTAGTAGAGCATAGGAAAAAAGGAGAACCAACAGTGCAGGTGTCAAACTGCCCTCCCTCACAATGCCCCCCAGGCTGCAGCCATCAGGGAACTCCTCTGCTGGAGCTGCTTTCAGGCAGTCACATTTCCTAATGACAAATGATCCAACTCCCTCTCCCACTCCCCACCCCCACCAGGAATGTCTCATCCCTTTTCGCAGCCCACTTACACCGACAGGCACAGCGCCCTTAGCAACCAGTCCTGCATTCAGTTACACAACTGCCACAAAGTAGCCCCTGTTTGTGGGTTCGGGAAGTGCTGCCTGACAGTGTCAGGGTGCTGGGTTATCCAGAGGGAAAGCCTAACAGCAGGAGGATTCCTGGCACTCTGAGCTGGGATCCCAAAAACCCAGGCAGAAGCTGCGAGCTGCCACAGCCATCCCAGCACTGACATTTTCTAGATCAATATGCTGGCTCAGAAATGCAGAAAGCCTTGCCCCACAGAGCTCAGCGTGCTTTTCTGTTTGAAATGGGAGCACGAGGGTTCCACTCTGCATGAACCATTAGCTGGGCTACGTTCCACCTGGCCTGACTTGCAGAATGAACAAGATGTACCACCACTCCCTGTAAAGGTGAGCATCTGTTTGGTGTCCCACAGGGACTTCCAGTCCACTAGCTGGATCAAAGTTTCCTCTCAGGCAGCAGAAGCAGATGGAGACAGTCAGCTCCCAGCCTGGTTCCCTCTCACACTCCCACCTCACAGCCCTGTAGATCAGAAGAGGTTTGGATGCAGCCCAAGTGCGTAGGACTGGCTGTAAAAAGCCCATGAAAGAAACCAACAGGAGTTGTTCTAATAAGCTTTCAGGCCAAGTCCTTTCCAGGTGAGCACCTTTAAAAATGAGACAAGCAGATGAAGGGTCCTTTGGCTGACTTGTAGCTCTATCCCTGCACTCAGGAAGCAGGGAGTCACAGGTGCTGGCAGGGCATAACACTGAGTCTACTCCAGATGGGTGACCTTGGCTAAATAATTTCCTTCTCTGTGCACTACTCTCATGTGTAAAGCTGGGATAACTTCACTGCCCTGTCTTTGCAGGACAGCAACACTCATTTGACTCTTCCAGTTTGAGCTGTTGCTCAGAGCCCCCAGATGAGTGATGCTCATGGCAACATGACTGCTCAGGAGGACTCTGGTGACACAATACTCTGGTCCAATCAGTAACTCTGTGAGAGTGCTCTGGCTGATAACACAGGTGATCCTCACTCACTGCCACTCACTGAGCAGTGATCTTACCCAAGATCACCCACACAAGGCCTCCTGGCTCCCTAGAGAGCAAAATGAAATTGCTGAAGCTGCAGCCTGAGCACCACTCACTTCTAAAAAAGATTGATGTTCCATAGCATTCATGGTATTTTGGGGAGTTCAAGGTTCTGGGGGGAACTGGACCAGGGCACTGAACAGGGTTTACAAATAAGAGTTCAAATAATATATCCTCACCAAAAGGTGCCAGTGAAGCAGCAAGTCCCACCCCTGACAGGAATACGTGTGGATTCCTGGCACAACTGACATATCCAACAAGGAGACATCCACCATAGATTTCTTCTACTGGCAGCACATATTTTAAAAATAAACATGAGCTCACTCCAGAGTCAGAACATGCAATTTTAAATCCAGCCAAAATATTGCCAGCAAGCCTTGCTGATCTTTCATGATCTTTAGCCACTGTTTAAAACTGCAAATCCTAAAACACAGACTGAGTTTTACAATGCCCAGACCTGGGTTCTCCCCAGCAATTCAGAGCAGTCTGACACGACTGTGAACAAGGCACAAAGCCAACTGGGAAACAGGGGTAAAAGGCAGAAATGTTTTTAGCAGGGAACGGGGGCCAAAACCTCACTGATCTTTACCTCCAGTGAATCACTGCCTTCTCTTGTTGCTTGAAAAGTCACAGAGCTTTCTGTACCTCTGCTTTCTCCTCTATAAAGTGGGAATAAAGCTCCTTCTACCTGCTTTTTTGCCATATTAACAGTGTAGTGCTATAGCACAAATGCTGGACAATGTCAACAGATGGGCTGTGAAATGGGGCTGCTGCTCCTGCTCAGTCTTGCAGATCAGTAAAGTGAAGGAAGCTCATAATATCTCTTTGGCAGTGTTTATTTTTATGTAACTTGATGCAAGTTGCATAACATATGGAAAATGGCACGAATTTTTGTTGTTTTGCATTCTCTGAATTTATCTTAAGTTCCAGAGAAAATCTGAATTCTGAAACACTTGTTACAGGTGGAAAAGAGAAAGACAGAACAGTGCCTGTCTTTCTGTCTTCCAATTTGGAAAGCTTGCACTATGGAATAATCTTGTCATGGGGTTGTGAAGCTACAAAAACTATTTTAGGATTAAGTACAGGCCCTACCAACCCAGCCCACAGAATCAGCTCTCACTGGATCAGTATAGGTTATGATTTTCTGCCAAAAACAAGCAAATAGCTCAGAAGCTGAACCTGCTTTAAAAAGAGGGGTTCATGTCTTTTCTGATTAAGCTGGTTCCAAATCCCCTTTGTGCCACACACACATATACATACACTTACATATTTCCAGTGCACAGATATAAATACCTGCAAAATAGGATGGACACAAGGAGAATCAGGCCCTGGGAATGAGATGCATCTATACTCTTTCTGCAACCCTCTTCAAGAGCGTCTCAAAAGAGGGCTACACCCACAGCATTGTTATTCCTGCCTTTAAGCAGCCCTGTGCTTTCCCTCCCTTTACCTGTGGGGAATAGATTCCAGGGTCCCTAGCTGTCCTTCTCTAAGGATGAAGCTTTCAACCTCTAAATCTGACTGCTGAATGATTCTTCCTGGACTGCCTTCAATAGAGCCACCTTGAGGGACTCTGCTCAAGGGAACTCTGATACCTGCTGAAATAAATGCTTGTATTAAACATAAGTACTTAGACAGATAACATGACCCAGCTATTCCTTCTCTCCTTGCTCCACGTTCACCAGAGGCTGGAGGAATGGCACTCACAACCCTTTCTGTTCTGTACACCTACAGCAAAAGCAGGTGGACATTCCTTATGTATCCTATCAAGGCTATTCTGAAGAACAGGAGGAAGAAAAGAGATGGTTGGAATGCTGAACAAGACTGGACAGGAAGGAGACAACGAGGAAGAGATAAAGAATAGCAGGAAGGAGAAAGGAAAGGGAGAATGTGTGCCTGAAGAGCACCATGTCACAGTTAAGAAGTTCCCAGCCTCTTCTCAAGCAATCTCTTAAGGATGACTGGCATTAAAAATGGACACAGGGAGCAGACAACACCTGGAGGGACTCTTCCAGTGGAAACACTAAAAGGAATCCACTACTATCTTATGGAAGCAATTACAGTTTAAGCAAAAGAGTAGGTAAGAATGTCTGTTTCAATACCTTAAATTAACAGCTTTTTCTCATTGAACTACTATAGAGGCAGAACTCCAAAGCTCAAAATAAGCCCCGCTCCCATTTGTCACGACATTGGAAAGCCACTAAAGTGAGCAAGAGTGTTTACAACAAAGGGAAGAGAAGCTGGGAAACTCTTAAGGTCAACAATCTGGGTGCAGTTTTACTAACCTTCTATATCTGGGGTCCACACAGAGCCAGAGACTCCTCTGGTGCTGCAAGGGCTCTGCCACATGGCCAGGTGATCATCCAGGATGGGAAAGGGCCTGTAAGAGCACAGGACCAAGCTCCCCAGATGGGGGCTGGCCCCAGCACTGCTCACTGCTGCTCTGGGTTGCAGCACAGCAGGGCTAAAGCAGGGTCCTGGTTCCAGCACAGCCTCGGTGCAGAAAGGTACAGGTTGTTCAGTGTTGGGAGTGGAGAACAAAGCCGTGCTTGTTCCTGCCTCATACACCTCAGTGCTCTGCATAAAGCTGTAATGACGGAGAAAATAAATCAGCCAGACACACTGCTTTGCCAAGAGGGGACCCCCAGCTAAACCTTTGAATCCTGCCCTCCACAGCTGGGAGATCAACTGCTCTGACTGGGCACGGACCATGTCCATCTGTGGTGTCAAGGCTCCTAAGTGATGTCCCCTGGGAACTGACATGAAACTCAGTTGCACAAATATGTTTAAAGGTTGCTTTGTCTCTGAACTGTCACTTATAAAGTGTTTTTCATACATCACCTGGATTCCAGCATCTCTAAATACGTTCCTCTGGGAGGCTTATCCAGATCTGCAGCTGACTGCTCCCACCCTGGCTCACAGGGTGCGAGGGTTATCTCCATTTGCTCAGAACCAGCGCCTGCATGAGATCCACCTGAAAGGTGCAGGCCAGGCAGGTGAGAGAACACTAATGGTTATTCCAAAAGGCAATGAAACAAGTCTAATTTGCCAAATACAGCAAGACCCCCCTGTTCCCTGTGACTGAAGTTTGGTTAAGATTCTGTGGAGGGGCATGGAAATAGGGGGTTTTCCTGGAGTACTGCCCTGATCCCAGAATCTGTGAGCTAAAACCTGCTGCCTCCCATGTATTTGCTTTCATTTGGTGCCCCTTCTGAGCCAGGCATCTCTTTTCACCTGTCCCTGCACAGGCCTTATGAGTGTCTGTTCCTATGGACTCACAGCCTCTGCCCAAACAACGAGGGACTCCACTAAAGCAGAGTCCTCCAGCGCTCACTTGATCCATCAGCGTATAGATGCTGTTCTCAACAAGCAATTTCTTCCCTTCCTGAGGGAGTTTCAAATTGATTTTCAGCTTTCTGGACCACATCCTAAGCCCATTAGAAAAACACAAACCTGCAGTCTGCTCCTCCTTTGCGTGGGAAGTCCAAGCCCTCTCAGGACAGGAGATGTGGAGCTGTTCCGTAGGAAGGACGCAGGATTTTCGACGTCGCCGATAATTCGCAAACCAATTATAGATCTGAGCTGGCTGCAGGTTCGTGTCCCGAGCCAATGTCTCCTGCAAACCCAGGTGTAGAGAGAAATGAAGGGGAAAAGAATAAACCACTTCCACATAATCAGGCTTTTCCCTTCAGTAGCAAAAGCAGTCCAGCAAGAGCTTTCAAACCCAGAGACGTTTACTCACTAGGTCTCCAAGAAGTCTCTGTGGATCCAATTGAGGAGCCCAATTTATAAACTCAGAGTTGACAGAAAACACACATTCCACCCTGCACCCCCGGACAATTTGTTTGCTAAAGGAAACCACATACTGCTATTATATTGCTCACCAAATAATGCCCTCACTAGAGCATAATCACCCCCCAGAATAACACCTTCACAGAGGCAGACTCCAAAGTCTGAAGCCCTCACCAATCAACCAGGATTATTGAATTAATTCACACATCACTTCCATTACAAATCTGTCCCTGTCCAAAGAAGGTAGATCCATGCACACATCAACACAGCCTGTTACGTTTTCAAATGCTGTGAATTTGATGTGATAAGTCAGCACAAAATACGTCCTGGTGAACAAAGTGCAATTTTCCACAGGCTGTAACTCAGTCCAGTCAGACAGAACTATTTATCACTATAGAGCTCTTCTGAGTGACGGCTGTTTCACTGCCTGTGCTCAATCACTACAAAATTAGAACTGTTAAAAACCCAGAGAGGAATTTATTGCCCTCAACTTCTTGTCCACAGCAAGAGAAACTACTTAGCATGAACCTGATGATTTTTTTAGAGAAACCTTTAGGTAAAGATTAAATACAAGGAATCCCAGCCCCAGTGAGGCTTCTGAAAACACCAGTTCCAGATTTCTGATCACAGAGTCCTGCTTTCTGTGACAAGGAGACTTGACTGTAAGTAACATATCCCTACCCGCTGTTTCTTGTCTGGCTTTGCTGTCACCTCTGCAGCAAACCTGTGCAGGTGCTGCCGTACTTCTTCTGGATGGTTTCTAGTCTTCAAACCTTCAGGACAAAGGGAAGTAGGTGGAGGATTCCTGTACACAGGAGAAAACAGGATTAAAAAGGACCCCAAAGAGCGTCATCGACACGGGAATTTTCTCACATTGCCACAAGTGATCAAAACACCAAGAGAAAAAACAGCTCCAAGAACCAGTATCTTGACATGCAAAACCAGTCTCTGCATCTGTAGCCCCTACCTCTGCTAACTACAGCAGAGAAAAAAGTGTTGGTCCCCCCATGATGCAGTACCTCTTCCTGCAACGGAATTTCTGCAGTGGTGTCAGAAAATCCCTGTGGTGTCTCTCCATAACCCTCCGGTAGTGAACCTCATGCCAAAGTTGCACCAGTTCTTCCTTCTCTTCTGCCTTGCAGTGCTAAAACAAAACAGTGTATAAACAAACCTTTCCCGGGAGTCAGTCAGATTTCCTATAAAAGAGAAAACCTGCAACAACAGAAATTTACTCAGAGATTCCAACTGCTTTGACAAAGCTGGTACGACCTGAGCATATGGCTCCTGTACCTTCTCTAATGTACACAGGGAGTTGCCTGCTTAATTCCTTCTTTTCCCCTGGTGAAAAGGGCTAGATGACCAGATCAAGAGGCCAAAATCCCTCACCATGAGTGGCACCATCCAGCCTTCCCCATATATTCCCACCCTGACAAGCATTCTAATCTTGGGCTTCCCAAGACGTTTATGTCCTGAGTCCTAAGATTGTGAAAAACTCCAAGAACCACCGCACTAAAGAACAAAAATCCTGCTACAGCCAACCCCATAATCACCTAATTACCTTCTTCCCCTTGGCTGATGAATACTGCCTGTAGCAAAGGCTTTATCCTGGGTTTCAGGTCAACCAATGCACACATATCACCTTCCACTGCCTTCTGCCAGCTGGAAACACTCCACATGCTGCAGTTTGGGTCCCTCTGCACTAACAGCTCTAACTACTGTTTTTCCAATACTGCTTTTTGTCTCCATGAAGAACCAAAGAACACATCCCTACCTCCAGGAGGCTGCAGGCTGTGTCATGCTGCCCATTACGGATGTGAACGAACACGCAAGCCCGGACAATGTGGATGTTAGTGAGAAAATACATCTTGTGTTTGCATCCCATCATGGCCCCAACCAGCTTCTCCAGACTAGGGGATGAGCTCTGGAGGTCCTGGCAAAGCTCTCCTGCTAGATCCAGCAGCTTGGAGGGTGGGGGATCCTTGTTTTTATTCCTATTTAACATGGCCATGAACTGCTTCATCCTCATGTCCTGTTGGAAGCTTTTTCCATGAAATGCACAAAGTTGTGGTTAGATAAAAACTATCATCTCCTATTTTTAGCTTCTATGGAATGTCTTTTTTTTTTTAAAGGAAAGAAATTCACTGTGCTATTAAAAGCAGCCCGATGACCTTAAAATGCTTTAAATAAAACTAGGCCTAAAGCAGCCCTGAAAAAGCTAAAGCCACACCAAGTTTGCAGGTGAAAAAATTGAGCTCAGAAAGACACATTAAACTTGCCCCAAAACTCCGAGACTGACTCTAAGCTTTACATCCACATCTTAAAGGTTAAAACTACTCGAACAGAGTAGTTCGGTGAAATTCAGGTGAAACTAATTAGTTTTTCTCCAAAACGGCGCTTTGTCAGGCCGGGGCAGTCGCAGTTACTGCAAAGTGTAAGCAATCGTCGGGGCTGGTTTTTACCCTTTTTCCTGGGAAAAGGGAGCCGGCGCGGTACCCTTGGGGACACCCCACCCTTGGGCCAACTCCATCCCCGCCGGACAAGAGCGGGAAAAGCTGTTAAATACCTGCGAAGTGGAGGAGCAGGGACGCGCTGCAGCCCGGTCCGGGCCCTCGTCCTCCGGGGTCAGGTGAGGAGCCGCCGCTCGTTCCCCGCCCAGGCGGGGCTCCAGCGCTGCCCCACACCCCGACCCCGCCCCGGGAGTCCTCAGACCAAGCACCCACCGCGTGCACGGCGCCGTTCATGGTACAGGGGGGGAGAGTAGATGGCAGCGAGTTGCTTTCATAGTAGAGAGCAATTTTTAAGTCGTTAATGGGGCTCAGACACGCACTGATGATTTTGACACACTTAACTGAATGAAGAGGCACGAGGCTCAAACCCACCTTTTGTGGGTGGGTGCCGTCTCAAAACAGATGAGTCATCCAGGCGCCTTTTGGGGGATAAAAAATGAAGCAGCTACGATTTTCCCTGAATCAGGTCTGAACACCATTGTGAAGGTGTCAGCCCTCCCCTGTCTCCAGTTTCTCGAGGACAGGTAACAAAAGGAACCATCTCACAGCAGGAGCCAGCAGCCCCCACGCTCAGCACGGCTGGGTTGTGAACTCACCCTAAATCTGCACTTAAATAACCAGCTCGTGCCGAGGCCCTGAGCCACGTGGGAGCTTTCTGTGCAAAGACAAAGGCTACATACTTGAGCACAGGCACCTTCTTTTCGCTGCATGCAGACACATTCTAAAAATCTGCTCATTATTCTCAGCAGTATTTTGTGTTCAGTGGCCCTTGATTTCTCCTTAGACTTTGGTGCTGGCCTTGCAGGACAGTAACTGGCTTCTTGCTCCTGCTGTGTGCCACTGTTCTAGATCCAGAGCTGGAGACAAAGTCCTGGATGCTTAAAAGACAAAGCCCCAGCACTGAACGTGGAGCTGGGCACAGGAAGCAGTACTTCCTCTTGGCAATTGTTGTCTTTCACTCACCGATTCTGTACTGCTGTCTGTGGAGTTACAACAAAACATCAGGGCACTTGCTTTTCTGCATTTTTACTTATTTACATGTATGAAATGTAACAAGCATCTCTCACATTTATCTTACATATTCACACAATCAGGTACACCTCAGGAGGGGCAGGGGCAGGCTGCTGCCAGGCACAGCAGATGCCAAGGGCACCCATCATTTTCACTGACAGGAAGCCTCCACCATCACACTGGGCTGAATCCAACTGCCCTTGAAAACCATTTGCACCCTCCCTCCTTTTTACCTCTGCTCTAACTGAAGTTTTGGCAATCAAGGACTGCAGCTACTTAAAACCAAGCTGAAGTCAGGTGATAGATATTGGCAAGCCAAGAGCTCAGATTCATTTTTTTTCCAAGCACTTAATCAAATTCTGTTGAATATCAACAGCAATATTGCTCAGGTCCTCTTGGAGCCTCAAGATGAATCCAACAGAGAGGCTCTTTTCACTCATCCTTCACTTCTACATCCTTGCCACAAGGTAAAGCTTTAGCTGTCTCCCTAAGAGATCCAATGCAGCCCTATCTCACGGAGCACTGGCGTGCATCTTGTCCAGACAGTCAGTCCAGAAGAGAACCAGCCGGCTGTCCTTGTTCCAGCAGAAGTCAGTGAAGTCCTTCAGCAGCCGGTCGGCGAACTTGTCGTCCCCGGTGGCGCTGGAGCGCCAGGTTTTGGTGAGCATGGTGTTGTAGGCCCAGTTGTAGCCGATTCGCTCCTCACAGAACATGTTCTGGTTGGTGGAGCTGGTGGAGTTGCGCCGGCGCCGCTGCTGCCCACAGGAGAACTTCCGCTTGGAATACGGCAGCTGCAGAAACACCGTCCCTGGAGGAGACAGGAGGGCTTCAGTCTGAGGCAGGCTCATGTCCCTGCAACTGGGGGCTGGCTCATTAAATTCTGAAAAGGAAACTGGCCTGAGTGTCATTTGATTGCCTTTCAGCAAGAGAAAATGGGATACAATTTTCCTCCTTCGCTGCTTCTTCCTGCGTGTTACACTGGGAGAGAGCACTCTCAGTCTGCCTTTCCCCTGCAGGCAGGGAAGGAAGCAAAGCTGTAGGCTCTGATCCATCTTTCTAACTTCCCATCAACTGCCATTCTCTTCTGCAATTTTCCAAAAGCTCTCTTCCTGTCATTGCTTTCATGTCTCAGCAACCGCTGGGAACACTGTGGATCCATCCTACTGCAATATGCCATGCATGGAGCGTGGTTAGAAGTGCTGATAGACCATCAACATTTATGAAGAGTAATAATGAAAGCAGGTGGATCCTAAATGCTTTATCTGTCTCCCTCACAGTGTCTGTGGGTAGAGATGCATCTACAACTGACCTTAAGCACAAGAACAGAGCACTGACTTGTCCCAAACCTCTTCCTCTTTCTAGCCTCTGGGTACACATTTATTTACACTGACCTTGGAATAAGCTCTGCCTTATTTTTTTTTAATTTCTCCATCTCCTGAAAAGAAAAGTTTTAGAGACATCATAAAGCAAGATTTCAAACCAGCACCATTGACCAGCAGCAACACTTTGTGCTTTTCCCACTGCCCCTCCAGTTTTCTGGTTTGTTTTGGCTGACACACCTACATGTCATCTGTCTTGGGACAAAACAGGACCAACATCACTGACACAAAACACAAACTGTAGGTAAAATGGTTCTTTTGTTTGTAAAAACCTCCTCCTCGCTCCAGTGCCTCCCAATTATCTCTCACCTGTGACATGGATATACTGGGGCTTGTTCTCTGCTGGGAAGTTGAATGCAGAGGCTGAGTATTTATCTTGCACAAATCCAAATCTGAAGAAAGAGAGACCATAGGAATTAAAAAAAAAAAATAAAAATAAAAAGAGCCACTCCAGGTAGGGTTCCTCAGTCCAAGGCAGGGGCACCAGGGAAAATCCTTCCACTATGACAAAGGCTCCCTCCTCTTATGGCCTGAAGGCAAGAGGAAAAGGGATGAAGAGAGCTGAGCTTCTCCAAGTATCCTCTGGCCCTGCCAGGCACAGAGTGAAAGCCTGTGACCTGTCCCAGCCTGTGCAGGACACAGGAGCAGCAGCAGCTCCAAGCAGCCTCTGACAAAACGGGGCAGCTGCACACGAGGGAGGGAAGAAGGAGAGAAGACAGACATTCCTTGGGTATGTTTAAGCTGCAACATCATTTTTTTCATGCTGGGCATTCTCCCACGCAGAATTCAAGCAGCTCACCTGACAGTTCTCTGCTGTTTGTAGGATACTTGTTCCTCTGCTCATTTCTAAACTAATGAAAGCTGGTTTCCAAGCTAAAGTCCATTAAAGAAGGCAGTTTCTCTGTCACGAAAAACACCTTGGCAGCAACACCATGAAACAAACTGGAAGTTCAACCACACAAAGGCTAGAAAGTATTCAGAGTTTCCAACAACTCCTTCTTAAACTCAGCCCAACCTCCTATGTACAGCTCCATCCCAGGCTCCTGCCTATTGTCAAGCATTGGTTGGCATCCAGTTCAAGACAGTGTTAAGTCCATATGGAGGAAATAACTGTCCCTTCTCTGGAAGAATCTATTTACAATCTATCTGCTTCTAACTTAGAATAACAGGGCACTTTCCAAAGGCAATGCTCTCCCTCAGAGGAGTTTTCCTAAGGAGTGACAGGCTGAAACCTGCCCCTTGCACCCCCAGAACCAGCTCCAGGCATGGGGGCTGTATTTTAGTCTAATAGTCTGTGAGCAGACTTCAGAGAGGCAGAGAGCGCAGACCCCACGGGACGCAGGAGTGACTGTCTGGCACAGATCTTCATTCCACATTACCCAGGGAGACACAAACCACTCTGGCCATACCTGTGTGCTATTGCCTCCTGGAGCAGGTGCATTCGGTCCCAGTATGTTTCGGGTTCGAAGCCTGAAACACACAAAATGTAACAAGTATCTAGTAAAGCTACTTTATTTCCTTCCTTTTCAAGACTTCAGTTTTCCTCAGAAGACCTCTGTGCACTTTTTTTCCCCCCTAGCCATTTCTTTTAGTCCCAATTTTTTTCTGTCAGCTGTCCCTTGAATGCCATCTTATTAGAGATGTGTCTTGCACGCTCATCCCTGAATTCATATTTTGTGTCTCTTGAGATGAAGGAGAGGAACATAAAGGTGTGTGTGGGAGGGGACAAGGAAGGAGAGTGGGCTGCTGTGTGTCAGAGTGCTATGAAAATACTTAGTTCAGTCAGTGGGGCTGTGGTGACCTCGCAGCATATGGATTTGTCACATTTGTTTTACATTTACACCTGCACACTGGGTCAAGGATTAATGAAAATAATAAATAATGAAAATAAAACAGAGCCTGTTGCTAATTGTCCCTTCTCATGATGCCATTTTGCCTCTCTCTGCATGGGACAGAGTTCTCTGATCTTTGAGTTTCCACCTGAGACTTACCACAACACTGTCAGTGGGAAGGGCGAGGTCACACTGCAGAAAAGGAGATTGCAGTTTCTAGAGCTTAATCTCATGTGCAAACACTCTAACCATGAATGTAACCATGGCAACAACAAAAAAAGGATGGCAGTGGTGAAAGCCTAATCTCACTGAGGGGGAGAATAAACAAACACAGGATACAAATGCAGAGCAGCTGTGGGTCTACCAGCAAAACAGACTCAGAGTCTGTCAAAGGAACAGCCACTTGCCATGGGCTCTGTAAGGGTGTGAAATGTTAAAGATCACTAGGGAGACCACCCTTCCTGTGTGTTGGTGTTTCTTGCTGCCCACCTCACCCTGTTCACGCTGACTATGCTGCCAGCACAGCCTCCTCCAGCACCACCTTCCTCAGGGGGCTGCTGAACTGCAAAAACAAGTCCCTCAGCCACCTAATGCCTGGATGGTAAATGAGGTCTTTTGTGTCAGCCACGTGCCAGCAGTGACCTGCCTGGGGTAAAACAAGGACCGTTTCTTACCATCAAACAGATGCTCACTGCCCTCCTTCAGCAGGCAGCTCACGTTGAGGGGGATGAAGAGCTGAGCCCGCAGTGGGTCTCCGTACAAGTAACTGGGCAAAGCAAAGGGGCCTTCCAAGACTGGGACGAGCAGGAACCCACAGGAGGTGGCTTTCCGGTGCCAACCCTGAACCTGACAAAAAATTCAAACAATGAATCATACAACATATGTCATCTGAGGAGGGGCACTTCTGTGCAGGAGAGCAGCTCGTTCCCCAGGAATAGATCAGACATGCTCAGCCCTCCCCAGGCTCAGCTCGCTCCGTGTGGCAAGCACACCAACGTCCTTGCAAGCGAAGCAGTGCAAGCACAAGGCATCAGGCTTTCCTTTTTCTGAAGTGCCACATCAATCAGAAAGCACTTTAAAATAGGACATTTTTCAGGAACTGATTCAGCCTACTTATCACCAGTGGCTAAACACTGCTGCTTTACTGGAACAGTGCAATTGATTTTAAATAAAAGCAAAACCAATTACCTAGTGCTGTCTGGCTGGGTGGGGTAAAACCTGGTGTTAAATAATTTGAGTTTTACAGAAGCTACAAAAGGGGAAAAAATGTCTGAAAATTAAAAAGTGAAACAAACCACTTATATTTTCAGTTCAAAATGTTTTCAGAAAGTTAAAAAAAAAAGCTAAAAAGCATTGCTGAACAGGAAGAACACATTGCTTGGAAAAGCCTTGTTATGAAAGCAATTCCAGCGAGATTTAAAGTTTTAAGGTTTGGGGATAGAAGGAATGCAATGTGAAACAGATTCTTTTCCAAAGACCCAGATCAGGGCTTAAAATTTGCCTAAGGGGGACTTAAATTTATCACCTTGACCTGTGCTGATCTCTGCATACTGTGCATGAAACCCACTAACAGCAGAGCACTGCCCTGCAGACAGAAGGACTACAGACAGTGTGATAAACATTGACCAGATGCAGCAATGCCTACAACCACCAGG